AGGGTACACCCTGGACGGGTCGCAAGTCCATCACAGGGCCACATAGAGACAAACAACCATTCACTCTCTCACTCACACCTAGGGACAATTTAGAGTTACCAATCAGCCTAACATGCATGTTTTTGGTCTGTGGGAGGAAACTGGAGCACCCGGAGAAAACCCACGCATGCACGGAGAGAACATGCAAACTCCACCCAGAAGGCCCCTGGACCGGGGTTTGAACCAAGGACCTGCTCGCTGAGAGGCAGCAGCTCTACCAGTTGCGCCACCGTGCTGCAAAGTTGAAACAATACATTCATTTTTATTTGCACTCTCTCTGAACTCAGAGAGTTTGGGATCAATCAACCAATAAGCTGTAAAGTTGTGTTTTGATTGACCGGTTCGTAAAAACCATGGTTTATTTTTATGCACAACCAGCAAAACTGCATTTTAGATCTTTATAAATGTCATTGCCCATCTCTGTTTGCATTGTACCCACCTTGACAGCTGCCACCACTTTTATGATTCAATCTACTGGAGTACACTTTTAAAATTATGTTAAGCAGATTTGAAACCTATTTGAATCATAAATCCTTCATAATTTGCATATAGATCTTGGCATTTGTTTTGGATGTGTTCTGTCAAAATAAAGTTCACTTGAAGGTTTCAAAATACAGCTCCAGGACTCTTAAGTTGGTGCACTTTCTTTTAGCATGTTCAAAGTTCAAGTGACAGGGCTGCACTCCTCTGACATTGACATGAAGAAGATAAGAACCCTGCAAAAGTTGCAAAACCTGCAGAAGACTCCCTCATAAATGCTACTTGAAGCCAAATGAGACACTATAGTACCTGGTAGTGTTTATGAGGGACGGCAAGATGGAAGGAATGTAGTGCTGATGGCAAGTTCTTGGATTCTTGGTCTGTCTATGTTCTAATGCTTACTTATGTCCATGAAGTAGATAATTACCAAATTTAAAAAAGGAGGTCTTTGATGCATGCATCTAAAATGAGCTTCTTCCATAGGGGGGCTGGGGTCACCCTTAGAGATAATGTAAGGAGCACTGTCATTCAGGGGAAGCACAAAGAAGAGTCGCTGCTCCTCCTTATCATGAAAAATGTCAGTTTAGGTGATTCAGGTACATGATTAAAATGCCTCCTGGGTGGCTCTCACTTCCAGTTTCCCAAGGATTTCCCACTAGGAAGACCCAGATTAAGTCAGACCAAGAACCTTCTGAAGGGAGCATTTTGCATCATCACTTTTCATTCATATAGTATGGGGCAGCGGTGGCACAGAGGTTAGAGAGGTCATCGGTTCGACTCCCCGGAACGACAGCATCAAAATGTGGGTGGGAAAGATGAAACACCTGCTTCCACACTTCATTTGTTCAACTCTGAGCCCTTGAGCAAGGCCCTTAACCCACACCATCTGCTCACCAGAGCACCCTAGATGGCAGCTCTGTGCTCCACACCTTGGGGTGTGGTAGCTAGGTGGTCTGTGGTTGCGTCAGGAAGGGCATCCAGAGAAAAACAATTGCCAAGTCTACATGCAAGTTAGTTCGCTGTTGCGACCCCTGAAGAAGGGAGCAGCCAAAAGAAGAACAAAATAAAGTCCTTCCATGTTTCTGGGCCTTAATGCACGTTACGTTGATGCTTCGTAGCAATCAAAGACCAAAACAGTTTGTGAAGAATGTAATGTTTGTAAAGACTGTTTTCAACCCTGTAAGCCAAAGCCTTTTGCTCATCGTACGTAACCTTTCATCTCAATCTATCAATGGAAAATAAAAGAAGGAGTGACTCATGGGAGGTTGCAGCTGTGTGACCCAGAGCATTCAAGAAGGTGATGAAAAGACAATACTCAGATAGTCAACTCAAACACAAGCCTTCCAGACAATGATCCGGTAACTTAACCCCCTTCTTTCCCCCAACTTCCTCACACAGAATTGTTTTTGATTGATAAGACTTGCATAGGATAAAGCACATGCTTGTGCTTGTTGCAGGAGCATTTACCCAGAAAAACATGTTTTTATTTATCTGGCAGAAAAATCTAGAGG